AAAGAAAGAAAGAAAGAAAGAAAGAAAGAAAAAGAACAATTACCCAGAGATGTTGCCTGCTCAACAGCTCTGAGTTCTGACCCAGGACTTGAGGGCCACATCTGTTTATATTCTTCAAATGAAGTTGAGCCTTCAGCTGAACCACTGCAATAAACCCCACTCTGCTTGCCACTAGACTGGGATCCTGGGGACTAGATGCTTGGGGGAAAAAAGTAGTGCTGAGGGGATGTGGCCTGATCAGGTAGAAGTGGGTACAGCTGAAAGGGCAGCAGCTAAGAGAGGGGCTAGGGGGAAAGGCAGGAGATTAGAAAAAGCAGCTTTTACAAAAACCAAAAATAAAAACCAAAATCATTAAAGATGCATAAAGTGACCCTTGCACTTCTGTTGTCTCTTCTTGAAAATAGAGGTGGTGCTGCTAGGGAGCTGCTCCAGCACCGGTGTAAGACTTGAGTAGTTGCATACAATGTGTGACTCCAGATCTGGAGGAGGAAGGAAAACCATCAGTGACAGTGATATTCCACAGGCCACTTCAGGAAGCCTCTGAACCCCCTCCTTTCAACTTGGGAGCCCTAACCAGAGCCCTCTGTGTTCTCCTAGTGGAGCTGTTTCTCCCTGCCCATGGAAGCTGTTATCTAGCACCAACTGCCCTCAGAGGAGGTGGAGGGCAAGGGAGATGCTGCTATAGGGCAAATTCCCAAGTGAGAGCCTTGGAACCCTACAGTTCACAGGCACTGCTTCAGAAGTAGGGCAGCAGAGGGCTGGTGGTCAGGATCAATCCCAAGTTTCCACTTGCCTCAAACCATAGCTAACATCCAATTTAGGTGAAGATTTCATCTGAAGAATGGGGCTCATGGAAGTCTGAAGGCCATACAGTTAAAAACACAGAATTTGGTACTGGGGAACTAGAGTTCAAGTCTCAGATCAATTTTTACTGGCTGAATGGTGTTGAGCTACATATTTATCTGCAAAACAGAGCTAATGATTCTTATTTCACAGAGCTACTGTGAGTATTATGAGATAACCCAGAGCCTATAGGTTCAATAGTCAGAACCACATATACACATAAAAAAGAGTGAAATTACAGGTCTTGGAACAGGAAAACAACACCTAGGCTCCAGACTCAGGTCAGGGCTTTGAGGCAGTTTCTATATGCATTCCCTTCCCACCTCTCCCGCCCTGGCCCCACTCACTTGGATGGGCTGAAGGTTTTACCAGTGCGGGGGCACGTAGCTGTATGCAGGGGTTCCTTGGGCCCTGTATGTTGGCATGGAGACAGGGTGTGCCCCAATCGCGGTGTGCTGGGGTGTAGTCAGCAGAGTACCTGAGCATGCAAAGAGAAGAGGAAACCTGACAAGTCTGTACCAGGATCAGGGGTGAAGAGGAGGAAACCATGCCTTTTAAGTTAATGCTCCCCCTGAGTGAGTCCCCCATCTCCCCTGCCTGCCTAAGGAACCTTCTCTCCCATGTCAAGCTTTACCTCTTTAGGAGGATCTTTTCGGATGCTGGAGGAGAGATTCAACCACTATTCTTTGGAAGCCTCCTTTCGCTTTTCTTTGTGGGATTCTCTTGTTGCACACACCAAGAGGTAATTGTCGGTGTCTGTTTATATCTCTCACACTAACCTGCATGTTCCTTACGGGAAGGGCTCTGGTTTGACCTAATGATTCCTGGTACCCAGGACCTAAACAACAGGGTGGGCCCTGAGAGGTATCAGTAGCTTGCTAGTGTAAAGGACAGAATAAAATCCAAATGTCCACTCTACCCCTGGCCCTTCTTTCCTCAGATGGGGACCTCACTGGCTCTTTAAAGCCTCGGTCTCTACAAGCTAGTCAAAGACCCTGGTCTTCTCTCATCCTTAATGGGAAAGCCCAGTTTCTCCCTCAGTGTCAACTCACCCTAGACCTTCCTAAAGCTGAACTCCCCATCCCCATCTTCAAGGTTCATTAAGGGCAGTGCTCTGGTCTACTCTGCAAGGGTCTTCGGGGACTCCTGCTTCCCTCCTCTCTCACCACAGGTCCTTATACTCCTGTCTGCTAAAATAACATTGCCCTGTGCCCTCTTTTCTGGGCCCCCTACTGATACCAGAGTCCTCATGTCATCATTTTTCCCCTAATCTGCTGTGACAGCCTCCTCACTGGCCTATCTGCTTCCAACCCTTATCCTCTGGTCCTGCTTCAGCCTGTCGCCAGAGAGATCTAAACCCAACCCTGTCCTTCTACTTGAAGCCCCTTGCCAGCTCCCTCACCTTAAGATTCTCAAACTTTTCCCTGTCTCACCCTGGCTGCCGTGCCACCACTCTTTCACCTACTTCCGAAGCGCCTTCAGCCACCTCCATTCTATCAACTTGCCACCCTTGGATTCTTTCAGCCTGTTTTGCTCTTCCCTCTGTCACCTCTCTGCCTGGCCTCTATTCACCCTTTAAAGCCTTGCTCAATATCCCCTTCTTGGTGAAATCTTTCTCATCTCTGCGACAGATTTAGAAGGTCCTTCTTCTATGTCCCTGGAACATCTCCGCATAGGATTTCTTATGCTGTGAGGCACTCAGTTCCATGATTGTTCTCTGCTCCGTCAGGAGTTCCCGGAGGAGAAGGAGGGATGCTAAGGCAGATACTGCTCTCACCTGCTGACATTGCCATGGTGGTGCCGGCCACCATGCCCATGGCCACGCCATTGGTCCTGGGGGCAGCAACAGGCGCCGGGTAGATGGCAGAGGGAATGCTGTTGGGCTGGACGACCGTGGTATGGTGGATGACATGGGGCTGGGCAGCGTACACCGGCTGTGTATAGTAGGCTCCCTGGGGAAAAGAGGCTGAGGTCACAAGGGCTCTTGGAGAGGTGGCAGGAGATGGAGGGAAATGGTTGGGGTAGGGACTCTGTTCCTCTCAGACCCAAAGGAATGCGGAGGGGAGAAGCACTGATCCATCGACACAGGCCTAGGCTCCAGCTGGAGCCCTGCTTTGTCTTACCACGACTGTGGCTTGTTCAGTGCTGGCTCAGCTACTGGTCACTCCCACACCTATCTTAATTTGCTCCTAGGGCTGCTTGCTCCCTAATGGGGTAAGAGCTCTACTCCTTTAACCCTAGTATTAGCAATTTTAAAATGTTTGTATTTTATTGAACTATACTCCAAAAGCTTCCTATAATTTAAAGGTGGGAACAATAATCAATCAGTTTCTAAGCATGTGAATGGGGCTGGTGAATCCCAGAGCACTACGCACATATGCTGAGAGGTTACCAGACTGGTGTGCGTGCTTGCAGCTTACACACTGAGAAAGTGCCATCGATCAACAGCGTTTTCCACGATGTCTCTTACTTATTATCTCTCTCCTTTTGACCAAAAGATAAGGATGGAGACAGAGATCTGAGGTGACTTCCCAGTGTCTGGATCACTAGCTTCCTGCTACTACCACTCATATGCCTGCTGAGTAGAGAGAGGCCCCTGTGATCATTTTAATCCAAAAATTTTTGTATCTTTCCACTATATAGTGACAAGGGCTTCAAAGGTCTGAGAGGATAGTCTAATACAGTTTTCCATAAATGAGAAAAATTAATCTCAAGCCTCTTTTTTTTTAAAGTTCTGCATTTTAATTGGCAATATAGCTAGTTTTTAAATTAAAAAAAAAATTTCCCCTGCCAATTAAACCTCATGTTGAATTATCACTCCAGAAGAATGTGCCATGAGCACGCCAGAGAAATCATATGGTCTTTAACTCACATCCTCCCAGAGTGTACACAATTATTCCCCTGAAAGAGTCCAAATGAGGACACTGAGGCACAGATAGAATAACTGCCCAAGGTCATAGGGCACTGGTGGCAGAGCCTGGGCACTTTTCTCCTTCTTACTTGGTTCACAGACTTTATCAAGGAAGAGTAGATGTGGGGTTAGGGAAGACCAAGACATGGGATCTCATCATTCTGACTCAACCAATAGCTCACTGTGTGACCTGGGACAAGATACTCCCCTCTCGGGGTCTGTTTCCCCACTTGTTTAACAAAGAAGTTCAACTAGATGATCACTAAAGGCCTCAGCCTGGGCCCCCCGGATATTCTGAGTTCTGTTCATCTAAATTAGAGTTCATGCCTCACCCCTCTAGGGACTGAGGTAGAGGGAAGGAGAAAGCAGGCTTCAGGGATATTGCTTCCATGGCTGGCCAGAATTATGAACCCTCCACTCTTTTTCACCCTATCCCACCCACCATACTCAGTCTGCAGGGTCCTCTACTTGCAGAAGAAATAGGCCCAGACCTCCATGTATACCTACCTGTGCATACAGATTCTGCTGGGGGTAGGCACTTCTGATTGGATACATGGCCGTCTGATAGGGGTTGGGTGATGGGGAGTAGGGGGGTGGAGCAGTATTACTCTGGGTCGGTGGGACCTTGTATGGAGTCCCTGCAGTATATCCTGTACCAAGGCAATAAGAGAGACTACCAGTTAGTTGGCATAACAGTGGTGCTAGAAGGCAGCAGGTCCCAGTCACAATTCCCCAGACAAAGATGGGCTGAATCCAGGCTGGAAACACAAATGAGAACAAACAAGAGAACAGGGCTCAACCCAGAGAGCCCTAGCCCTAGAGGCAGCTCCCTCAGTCCTGGTGCACAGGGCAACATGTGTGTTTCTAGAGATATTTTTATTTCTCTAGGTTTCAAGGACTCTCATCTACAAAAGTAAGAGGCCAGAACCAGATGGTCTCTTATAGGACCCTTTTAGCTATGAAGGCCTGGGTTCCTGCACTATCTGAGAAAAGTAGGTCCACACAGATGGAAGCCCCTTAACACCCCCACTCCCATCTTCTTGCTTTTCTGTCTCCTCACTTATCCCAGCATCTCAGAGTATCTTTTGCTAGTGCTTTTTCTCCTTATAAGTATCTCCCTTAACCATGCTGCCTCCTCCTTACCAAGTCTGAAGGTAAAAACCCACATAAAACATCTCTCAGATGCTCATCTTCTGGGATGTTGAAAACACTGCTCTGCAGGGCTGGCTTTTCCTCCCCTCCTGTGGCTTGTGGGAGGTCATCTTTGCCCCATGGGCCTGAAGTCAGGACCCAGACCCGGGCCATGTCTGCACCTCAGCAGGCCAGACAACAGCTGGGGGTTGTGAATTCAGGCCCCAAGAAGTTCACAATTGGCTATGAGAACAAACTGTGCTTCTTTTGAGACCTCCAGAAAAAAAGTCAGATCTTATGTTTATAGGAAGGACTTCAAATACAAGTCACTCAGGAACAAGGTGTCCTTATAAAATCACTAAATGGAATCATCCTATTGAACTAGGTAGTCATCTACTGATCCCCAATCCTCTGAGTTATATGAGGGGATCCTGAGGCTCAGATAGGACAAGTCTTTTTAGAAACTTCTCCTAAAGACTCTAAACTCTAGCCAAGCATGATGGTCTGTAATCCCAGCTACTCAAGACACTGCAGCAGGAGGATCTCAGGTTCAAGACCAGCATGGGTGACTTAGCAAAATAAAAAGGGCTGGGAATGTAGCTTAGTGGTAGAATGCCCCTGGGTTCATTTTCCAGTATTTAAAAAAACAAAAATTAAGATTCTAAAATTTTCCTTCTGAGTTGAAGGGTCAGTGTCAGAGGACCTTGGCTCTGAAGCCCCTGTGGAAAGATGCTAGGGTGGCTTCTGCCCTGTAGTCCTGTCCTAGGTGGGTCTAGCTAAAGTTGTTGGACCTCTCTGGGCTTCATTCTTTTGCCTATAAGATATTCACCAAGGAACCTTTAAGCCCCAAGAAAGAAGGGACTAGGGGTCAGAGTAGCAAGGAACTTTATTAGAGGAGAAGTGATCTAGGCTTTGGTCTGGCTTTCTGCCTAACTTGGATGTCAACTGCCTAAATCTCTGGGCCTTAGTTTCTTATTTTGTAAAATAGGAGATTAAAAATGAAAATCTCTTTCTAAACTAAAATTCCATGGCTCTAAGATTATGGGTTTCCTCTATCCTAACTCCAAGTAAAAGCAAGCTACCACATGGGCACAAATCCTCAGTTACACCACAGCTTTGGCTTGGTATTTTCTGCCCTAATGACTCAAGAGGATATCAGAGCTATTGCTCAGCTGGCACAAAAGATGTCCTGTCATCTCCCCTGGAACTGTTATTTATTTTCCCACCTGCATATCTACAGAATTTGTTCCATGAAAAAATTGTTTTGTCCTCAAGTTTGTTTGGGAAATAAGTAGCAAAGAAGATGGGGTGAAAAAGATACATCAAAGAAAAGGCAGAATTGATAAGAAGTAGAAATTAACTGGAAGGGAATTATAGAGCAGATTCCCTAAGGTTTCTAGACTATGGAGCTAAACCTGAGATGTGGTCTCAGGAAAAAAAGCAGATACCACATGAGAAGACGGAGTCTAGGTTTGCAGAAACCTAGAAGGAGCCATCTGATGGGTACTTCACTTTTTCACCTTGGAGACAGTTTATTTCTCTAAGAAATAAAGGGGATTCTCAAAATGGGCTGATTCCAGGGGATCTTCTTTTCTTTTATGGTACCAGAGACTGAACTCAGGTGCCTTGCACATCCTAGCCAAATTTTCTACCACTGAGCTATATCCCCAGTCCCCCAGGGAACTTAGTAGTATTTGGAGAAGAGAAAAGAAGGGGATGAGTTTTGAGGTCCCATAATTTGTGAAGTAGCAATGTAATATAGAGATAAATAGGTGTGTGTGTGTGTGTGTGTGTTTTTTGTTGTTGTTTTAATTTTGTGGCCCTGAGAAGTCTTTAAAATAATTCAATGAGCTATGAATCTCTGACGATGGGGGGATATATAAGGGACCGTATTCCCCTAAAATTATCACAGAATTATTATTATTATTTTTGGGTGGTATTAGAAATTGATCCCAGAGGCACTCTGCCAGTGAGCTACATCTCCAGCCCTTTTTATTTTTTATTTCAAACAGGGTCTTGCTAAGTTGCTGAGACTGGCTTCAAATTTGTGATCCTTCTGCCTCAGCCTCCTGAGCAGCTGGGATTAAGGATGTGTGCAACCACACCTGGTAGGACCACAGAAATCTTTTATTGATAATAATAATTCCAGTCTGTGGTTTTCTGTAATTACAACTTACCTGGTAAATAAATCTTTAATTTAATTACATACCTGCAATGACTACTTTCTTGTTACAATGGTAGTTACAGAGATCATATGGATTGAAAAGCCTGAAGTATCTACTATCTCAAAGTCTGGCCCTTTATAGGAAAGTTTCCTGACCCTTGATTTAAAGGAATTAAACAAGGGCTGGGGCTGTAGCTCAGTGGTAAAGCACCTGCCTTGCATGTGTGAGGTCCCAGTTCAATCCTCAGCACCACATAAAAATAAATAAAAATACTGTGTGTTAATCTACAACTAAAAAAAATGTTAAAAAAAAAAAGGAATAAAACAATATGTAGAGGGGCTGGGGATGTAGCTCAGTGATAAGGCACTTGCCTAGCATGTGTGAGGTCACAGGACTCAGGCCCCAGAGCATTGCAAACAACAACAAAACAAAACAAAACAAAGGCTGGGGATGTAGCTCCTGGGGAGAGTGCTGGCCCAGCAAGGACAAGGTCCCAGGTTCAATTTCCAGTACAGAAAAAAAAGGAAGGGCTTATTTTAAAAACAAAACAAGCCAGGCATGGTAGCACACACCTGTAATCCCAGCAACTCAGGAGGCTGAGGGTAGGAGGATTGCAAGTTCAAGGCCAGCTTCAACAATTTAGCAAAACCCTGTCTCAAAAAATGAAAAAAGGCTCGGGGATGCTACACAGTGGTTAAGTGGTGCCTGGCTTTCTACCTAATTTGATACTTGCGTTCAAAAAAAAAAAAAAAAGAAAAGAAAAAAGAAAAAGAAAAGAAAGAAAGAAAAGGAAACAATACAAAACAATTCGTGGAGAGTCCTGCCAGGATAAACATCTCATTTCTATGCAGAAGAGGGCATCCTCAATCGGAAGATGGCTGTCTCTGAAGGTACTACAGCACAGAGCAGTGGTTACAGTCTGGGGCCAGACCCCAGTCCTGCAATTTAATAGCTGTGGAATATATCATCTTCTCACCTGTAAAATGGGGGTAGTAACAGCACCTACCTCATAAAGTTTCTGTGATAAATACATTGATAAGTGCAAAGCACTTAGTACAGTGCTGGACGTATTATAAGCATTTCAAACAGGGTAGCTGTTATTATTTTTTTCTCTCTCACTGCATAAAGATAGTAAACTTCCTATTCTGGAGGCATAAAAGCCAAGTCTGGTCTGAATGAATTCAAAAGATAAGAAGTTAAATTATGACTGGTATGGTTTGTTCCAACTTGGAGCAAAGACTCCAGGACTCTAATATTCGAAAATTTTATGGTTGAAATACTATGATTTTATGATTCTTTATAGAGTTAACAGGACAACACTGCTGGTTACCTTACTTCATGCTCCTAGAGAATGTGCTCTGGAATTTTTATCTTCACCAGGAAAGGTTCTGTAACCCCTCTATACCACAAGGACAACCATATTACAAAGTGCAGGGACTCTCCCTCTGAGGAAAAGGCTCTCAGAGACTGCAGTAGAATCTGCTTTCCACATCTAAGAACAACCTTTTCTGAGAATGTTTCCCTTTCTTCATGTTATGAAATGAGACACATACTCAGAATACAAACAAGTAACGAAAACATCCTTGGCAACCAAAGAGATGCTGATCTAGAAGGCCCTGCTTGTCTGTCTAGACAGCTTGGGATGGGAGAAGCAGAGCCGCAGAGCTAGAAGAGGTCTTAGAGATCTCCCAGACTGACATAAACATTTCACAGGTGAGAGAATAAATAGATACTAAAAGAGAATGACTGCTCATGGGGAGACTTTCTCTAACCACAGTGGTAATCAAGGTTACCGTTTGTGTCAGGAAGATATGAGGCTACAGAAGCTACCCAGGGTCCTCAGCCTAGGCTCCTTCAGAGAGTTCTGCTCACTTCTCTCAGGGAATGTACTCATTTGGACTGAATAATTTCAGAGGGTCTTTCTGAAGATGATGATATTCTGAGTTTCTGAGTATCTCAGTAGGACTTTTATGAGAACATTACTACAGAGGACTTTCTACAATAGACTGGTGGTCCTTAGGGAATAATGAAAATTCCTGTTGTTGTAGTCTGGGTTACTTTAAGTATCACAAAAGTCAGGGTTCTTAGTTTGTGAATCTAAGTAAAAGAAGTTGTAAGGGCTGGGCCCAGTGGCACACACCTGTAATCCCAGGGGCTCAGGAGGCTGAGGCGCTAAGCAACTCAGTGAAACGCTGTCTCTAAATAAAACACAAAATAGTGCTGGGGATGTGGTTCAGTGGTCCAGTGCCTCTGAGTTCAATCCTTGGTACCATGAAAAAAAAAAAAAAGTTACTGGGCTTCTTGCAAAAAAAAAAAAAAAATGGTTTTTACCCAAGTGAACTTAGGCTCACTGATGGCCTGGCAATCCTGAAAGAAATTCTGAATCTTGGGCTGGGGCTGTGGCTCAAGCGGTAGCGCGCTCGCCTGGCGTGCGTGCGGCCCGGGTTCAATCCTCAGCACCACATACAAAGATGTTGTGCCCGCCGAAAACTAAAAAATAAATATTAAAAACAAAAACATTCTCTTAAAAAAAAAAAAAGAAAGAAATTCTGAATCTGAAGGTCATAATATTAGGACTTCGATATGCTGTGCTTTAAGGACATTAGAGGCTTGCAATCAACGTTCTCCCTTACAGAGGAAGAATCTAGAGACTGAAAGGACAGCAATTTCAATTTCCCCCAAATTGCATAACAAATTAATGAAAGCTGTGTCCAGAGTTCAGGGCATGAGTTCTTGTCTTGGACAGAGCTCTTTCTGAGTTAAGGGTTTCTCCAGTTCAATTTTGGGCATTTAGTATATTGGTCTTTGTATCCCCATTTCACTAAGGGCAAAATCATAAGAGGAATTTGATCATTAGAAGTCCCAGCTTTGCCTTATAAAAGAAGCTTTATGATATCTATTGTTTGTCTCAGGTTCCTAACCATAATTTTAGGCTCCATCAAACAGGATAATAAAGAGAGTGTGTATGTTAGCAAGTAAAACTTTTCCAGCCCTCTCTTCAGTCCTCCTTCACTGCTATAAATCTTTCAGTGGTAGAAGCCCTAGCACTTTCAAAGGTATTGGTCCTCACATCACAGGTGCCTTTTAGACTAATAGGTTTATTGATCAGTGAGTTTATACGTCTGGACAAAACAAAGCTCTATGTCTGAGTCTTGCCTTGACCTCTGACTCTCCTTGTTGGTAGCTAAACTGAGCACTGAATAAGTAGGAGGGAGACCTATTTACAAACAGGCTTAGCAAGTGCTGGTGAAACCAAAATGAATTTGTCAAAGCACCCTGAATTTTCTATGGCACTAGAAGCAACAAAATGTGGCAATTAATGGGTCAGTCAATCCCAACTTCATTAAAGAGTTACACAGGTTTAAACATTACTTACTTACAAGAGAGGGATACATTTCGGTCCTTCCCAGGGACTGTGACAGCCTGTCTGAGAGGGGACGTGGTTACTGGACATTTTAATGGAGTTTCAGGAAGCCTTCAGATAGTATAAGGCAAGGCCTTCTGATACTTGGACTGCCTAACTGTGTAAAGGGCTGCCTCTGGAAGAAACTAGATTGCTGATCCTGAAGATATGAGCAAAGGCTTGATGGCAACTACTGGTGAGAGCTGCTGGAGAGGAGGTCCCTGTGGTGGGGAAGATATTGATACAGAGCTGCAATGTGAGAGAATCAGGAGTCTACTGTTTATTGAGAATGTTTAGGATGAACCAATTCAGGGGCCTCATTTAAAAGACCAAACTCCAAAGCATGTGCTGCTTATTAGTTGGGCAGCACTGGGCATATTACCTTTTTGAGCCTCAATTTTCTAACTAGGATGAAAAATCCACCTAAATGATTTCTTTCTTTCTTTTTTTTTTTTTTAGAGAGAGAGAATTTTTTTAATATTTATTTTTTAGTTATTGGTGGACACAACATTTTTATTTTATTTTTATGTGGTGCTGAGGATTGAACCCAGCGCCCTGTGCATACCAGGCGAGTATGCTACCGCTTGAGCCACATCCCCAGCCCCCTAAATGACTTTTAAGATCATAGTGTTGACTAAATGAGAGAGTGCTGGGCAAAGTGGCCCACCTGTAATCCCAGTGACTCAGAAGGTTGATGCAGGAGGACAGCAAGTTTAAGGCCACCCTCAGCAATTTAGCAAGGCCCTAAGCAACTCAGTGAGGTCTTATTTAAAAAAAATAAATAAAAATAAAAAGGGCTAGAGATGTAGCTCAGTGGTAGGTACCCCTGGGTTCAATGCCTAGTATTGCCAAAAAATAAAAATAAATAAATAAGAGGATGATTATGAAAGCACATTATCCAAAAGACAAGCTATACTCTGTAAGCTGATATTGACATCTAGGGGCAAATGATAAGAAGAAGTGACACTGGAGATTTTAAAGAAGAAAAAATACAATGAATTCTTCTAACCTACTTACTTGGTAGACTAGCAATTCACTGTAATATCACACTAAAGGCTTATAGCCCCTGCTGGCACAACTCCAAGGCTAAGTCCTCACCATATCCAAAGTCAGCCATTCATCTAAAAGCTCCCACGAGGCACCAAGTTCTTCCTTATATGGAATCAAAATGCCACTCAGTAATTTCTAATCACTGGGTCTCATTTCCTCAGTGGAACCACTGTGTGAAAAATCAGAAATATAGGGACTGGGGATGTGGCTCAGTGGTAGAGCGCTCACCTACCATGTGCAGGGCATTGGGTTCGATCCTCAGCACCACATAAAAAAAATAAAATAAAGATACTGTGTCTAATTAAAACAAAAAAATATTTTAAAAAATCAGAAATATAAAGATGATAGCACTAGTTACCCTACTGAGCCTCTAGATTATCATGATCAATCTGACAAGGTGGCTGGCTTTTGTCAATATATGTACTTTATTCCCATAGTATAGCTTCCACAAGGGCAGTGTTCCTCAAAGGGGGGTGGGGTGGGGTGGCATTTACTAAGTTTGGAGACATTTTTGGTTGTCATATAGTGCTTTGCTCCTGGTATCTAGGTGTAGAGACCAGGAATGCTGCTAAACATCCTGCAATGCTCAGGACAGTCCCCAACAACAAAGAATTATCTGGCCCAGAAGTCAATAGTGCTGTAGTTAAGAAATCCTGCCTAAGGGGAAATCCCTCTCTGTCCAAACACACACAGGTCTTCAAAATGTGCCTTCTGTTCTTTCCCTTGAAATGCAGTAATAGTCTTTTCCCAATCCAATTTCTCAGCCAGAAAGAGAGTACTCTTTTTCCCTCCCTCACTGTTGTGTGTCTCCCTAAAGCAGGGTGCATGATCAATGAGATCTTTATTGAATGAGGAAGGCCAACTTTTTGCATGGATAGGAGAACCTTTTAAAGTAGTATTTATATAATAAAGATCATTTTTAAAAAATCCCCTTTCCTTTCTTTCTAAGAAACAAATCAGTCCCAACCAAGGGGAACAAGGAAAGGAGGAGACAGGCTGTATTTACTGAAAGCCGCAGAGGATGCTTGGTAAGTTCGGTTCTCGGTCCCGGTGTCCACTGGGAGGTGGAAGGTGCCTTCAGTGCCACAGGAAGACGAGTTCTGTGGCCAGGCCTGTTTCATCAGCAGAGTGGCTTAAGGGAAGACACAAGAATGGCATTAGGCAGAAATAAGAAGTGGGCACCACCAATCACAGACATAAAGCAAGGATTTTGTGCTGGACAGAAACATATAACCCAAAGGGCCTGTTCAGACACACAGAATGATTCAGCCTTTCTGAGATGAGTTAGTGGGGTGGGAGCAGTGCTGAAGTGAGCTTCCAGATGGTTGAAAACTGAGGAAATCTGCACTTACGCTAAGAGCATCAGGATTTTCTAGGTACTACTAAAACCATGAACATGTCCATGAATACTGCTTCCTTCTACCTGACCTTCTGGCATAAGGCTCTGGTATATTCCTCAGCTACTTTATAATGTGGATCAAGTTGGGAGCCTTTGTGTACTGGGCTATATCAACTCAGCCCCCCTACTTTTTGTCTGAAATTTCCTTGGGAGGTGTATTTAATAAGTTGTGGAAAAAATTTATTCTTGCTGGAATACCATGTCCTCTAAGTGGACTGAGATGTAGCCATGCAAGCTTAAAAGGCACAGGGCCCTGTGGGTGTGTTCCTAGTTATCTAGTGAGGCACTCCTTGCTAACTCATCCTGGACACCCATCCAAGGTCAGATGAACAAACCTCTGCATATCCCTGAATTATATCCTGCTGAGGTGCTACTGGGTGTCCCACCTGAGACAGCTCATAAATTAGAAATGATCCTTTAGACCATCCCAAAAGTAAATGCCAACTTGGGGTAGGTGTAAAATAGAGATGAGGCCCAGTTTGAGGTCTGTAAAGACTTCCTTGGCTAACTCAAAGCTCAGCTTGAGAAGCTTGAAAGATGATCCTTTATATGTTCTAGAAGTGGGACTGACTCAAAAAACTTACCTTCATGGTACCCAGAGGGGAAGGAGAGAGGAAATAGGGCTCCAAAGGGTAGAAATGCCCAACTTTTTACTATACTTTCAAACACTAGAGAAGAAACATCCTTTACTCAAATTTCTATTTCATTCAAATAAGGTCTTGGGAGTCCTTGATATGGAATTTTTAAAAGTATATTAGCTGGAGATGGGGTTGTACTGACAATAGTCAAATATAATTGAAACATTTTCACAAGGGGCTAAGGTAAGTCACTGTAGTCTGAGAAAAAAGTATGCCTATATATGCTCTAATTTCACCAGGATATTCTACCTTCAGAGAGATTTCATATCTTCCTCTGACTGTCTGGATAATAACAAATGTCTCTGTTCCTTCAATCACAGAACTGCTAAGGTTAGAAAAGGTCAGGGACTCTACTGTTCTTACTAAACTAAGGCTAGGAGTGCAGCTATCATATGCTGACTCTGCTTGCATTAATGGCCCGCAATATATACAGCAGATGCTGAAGAATGAGAAGGAAATCATGGGCAGGAAAGTGACACTAAAAGGAGAATTCTGGCAAAGAGAAATGGAGGCCTAGCGGAACTCCAAGTATAGTTCAGGGCCTCTTCTGGATATCCAGACATGGCTCTGCATATACTACAGGAGGAGAGAAGTCCATTTAAAGCAATCATCTTGGGTTCTTTATGGGGGCAGAGGGCTGGTATGAAGGGGATTAACAAAGAATCCAATTAGTGTTGAAAAGCTTATGAAGATGTCTCCAAATTTAGAACTTGACACTCCATGTGGCTGGAAAGCTGAGGCCACCCAACACAACTACCTGAAAGGTTAAACATGTAAGTTCTGAGGAGTCAGAAAGAATAAGCCCATAACCTCATGGGACTCCACCAGTGAGCAGGAGCATTGAATTTGGTTGTATAAATTTGGAGAAATTATAGGTCCTGATTCATTCCAATTTTTTCCTCCAAGTGGCACATACTTCAACATAATTTGCATCATTAGCCAAAAGTCTGACATTAGCCTGAAGGGCTGTGTGACAAGGTAAATCAAAATTAGCCAAAGAGTACTGAGGTCTAACTGCGCTCAGCACTGAGGGGAGCGCCACCGTGGACAGGAACACAACGTGGGTCACGGTCACTGCACACAAGGTACTTACAATCTAGCTGGGGATGCAACATAGCAACAACCAGGGAGTGAACAAGACAGCATGATACCCAGTAAAACAATGTTGCAGATTAATCAGGAAAAAAGCAAATGAGATTATGCCTTTGATTGTCTTCCCTAAGTGAAACCTTAGCTAAACTATACATTTTCCTGAATAAAGGGGCATTTTCTTCTGGTTTCATTAAAGAAAACAAACATTATTTCTATGCCTCCTCTATATATTTGAATACTAAATAATTGAATAAATGTGAAAACTTAAAACCAAATATCAACTTGACCTCCTCATTAGTTAGATAATCCTGTTCTTCTAAGTACAATTCTAACGGCACCCATTCTGTTGGTGGTGCTGATCAGAGCTTAGTTGTGGAATGAAAACAAACCCAACTAAAGCTTTTTAGAAGTATAGTGGTGGAAGAGGCTGCTCTAATAGGAGGGCATATTCTTGAGTGCCAGAAAGAAACCACTTCCTAGAAATGTTTTATATTTTGAACTGTGTGATTGCTATATTTATATGTATATATATATATATGTGTGTGTGTGTGTGTGTGTGTATATATATATGTGTGTGTGTGTATTACAGTGTGTGTATTACATGTGAAAAATGTTGTTAAGCTGTATACTTAAGATCAGTGTACTATATTATATGTGCCAGCCTTCAAGTCAAAAAGACAGAACAAAAGAGCAGCCAGTCACAGCAGGCTGCCCACATCCAGGTGCTGGGTTGTTCACTTCCCTGGATATGGGACCTTCACACCCTCTGACACTTGAACAATCTGTTAAGCACACTTACAAAGAGGAGAGGCAGCAAGGGACCATCATCCTGAACAATGTACTGAGTCAGGAAATTTGCATTCTTCTATCCTGGGCTCTGCCACTTATTAGCTATGGGATCTTGGGCAAGTCACTTAATTTTTTGGTTATCTCAAAATTGCAATAACTACCATTCACTGATAGCTTCATAGTATTGACATGAGGGTAAAAAATAAAGTGTCACCCAGTTTAAGTTCTGGTAGCTATCTATYCTTCCATCTCCATACTGGTAAAGGGCTTTAATTCAAGCTCTCAGCATCTCTCACCTGAATTGCTCCAACTGCTTCCTCACTGTTCTGTTTGTTTTTAAACCTGTCCCCTCCAATCATTAAGTTACAGCTACAGTGACCTATCTAAGACACAATCAGAAAACCCTCTTTCTAAAGAATATTCTCTGGTTCTCTACTGCATATAGGGTGGTCTGAAGTCCTTATTGCATTCAAGGCCCCATGATCTAGTTCCGATTATCTCGCTAGTCTCTCAGTCTCCAGTCTATACTACAGTACACCCACTGATTATCATTCCCAGAATATGCAGAGGAGCTACACATATCTGTGGTTTTGTCCATACTGCTAGCTCTTCTGGCATGTCTCTTCTCACAKTCCACCTGGTAAACTTAGACTAATTCATCAATCATGAGCTGAAGATGCACATGTACTACAAAGTCTTTTCTTCTCTCCACCCAGTGACCACAGCTTCTGCATGCACTCCATGTAGTTGACCACCCTCATCATTCCTGTGATTCTTAGAAGTTCCTGTACTTGGCTGGCTTATCTGTCTCCCCAATAATTTGCACACTCCTTGAGAATTGGAGAGCTTGTCTTACTGGTCTTTGTATCTTCAAAGGGCCACTTAGGGCCTGCCACAGAATATTTTGTTAAGGGTTCTATCCATACTACTCATTTCAGATGCTTTAAGTGGAAGGGTGAAGAAGTCTGAGACCTTCTCTAACTTTTTATGGAAACCTCTGTCCAAGTTCATATATTCTGGGGCAACCAAGAGAGAGAGAGAGAGAGAAAGAAATAGGTCTGTGGCTTGCAAAATTGAAATAATAAAATTGTAAAAGGATGGGATGTTAGTATTAAAGATATGAAAATATCCATGTGGAATAAAACTTTATCTATAGCCTAGAAACATTAGCAAGTTGCCCAAGATCACACAGCCCACAATAGTGGCAAGAAATTTCACAGTTCATCTTCTGAAAGATGTGCAATACAAAAATTTAATTTCTGACAACTAGATGATCAAGGTTTAAAAGTTGAGAAAGTGTGCAGAGATTTTACAAAAACATTGTCCTCAGCAGCCCAGGTGAGGGTGGTTAAAGTGGCAAGTCCTTCCCATGGTCCCTTCCTGTCTATGACAAAAAGGACCTAGTCAAGTTACACTGCTAGGACCCTCACAGGTGCCCAGAAGTTCCCGTGGTGCCTTGGGCCTGGAGTCCACACTGCCCCAGAACTCAGCTTTTGATCCCTCAACTCATTGGCACACTTGGCTCCCACCTTTCACCATCCCGGAAAATGCCCCAATAATGAGCCCAGAGCTCAAGATCTGAGCTAAGGGAACAGATTGTATTTAAAGTCACCAAGTCTTCAAACATGTCAGACTGCTGATGGAGATAGGAAATCTGATCCTGGGGCAGACTGGTGTTTTAGCATAATCCAGGGACTCCTTCAAAGAGGCTGCCACAAAGCCAACAGAAAAGCCACATATAGACCCTGGAATTTTGGTTCATTTGTTTGAATTCAGCAGCCAGGTTAGGATGAGAGACGCCTTTTAGTGCCATGATCCTTCATTGCTGCCCTAGGGAAATGGTTCATGTGTGTCTCCAACCCATGATTTTGCACCATCAGACATGTTCCTGCATGCTTTAGGAACTGCTGCTGAGCCACCTGGGGGGAGCCCAAGCCTAGGGGATGGGATTTAGGGAAGAAAGGAGAGGGGTTCTACCATTGTTACAAGATAACACATTCATAGGCCGTAATACAGATGAGGAAAAATAGCTCTCCTACCATAAGCTGAATGCAGGAACTGAAACTCTGTTGGATAGAAATGTTAGTTGAAATTACCACTAAGAATTTGTGCAAAGTTTTACATATTGCAGTTACATATACATTCTTTGGCTTAAGATAGCAGTTTCCCCCAGGCCGCACAAAAAATGGTGACTATATGGGGTATGAAGTACCTCTACCCTGGAGAGGGTGACAGACTTGCCATCCAGGAAAGTTCAATCATTGCAGAGAAAAATCTCCCTGGATGCCATGGCATCTTCCATATAGCTGACCCAGAAGCTGCCTAGATGTGAACAAGACCAAGCTCTTGCTCTTTGTTCATTCATGATAAAAACATGTTTCAATCCTCCCAAGAACCAGAGAAGGTGAAGATGTGATAGATATTAGAGGAAGTGAAAGTTCAGGGACAATACCATCAGCATAGGACTCTTTAGAATTGTTTGTAAAATCCCAGAGAGCTAGGCCCAAGCCTCCAGGACAGTTGGTGCTATACAAGTCTGAAGCTCTGCTGCTTTTTTAACTGTATAAGTTTGCACAACTTATTTAACCTTTGAACAAAATTTGAGGCAAGCAGCTCCAACACACAGGACTAATATAAAAGGGAACATTTATAGCATGCCTTGCATAGTGCCTGGAAGGAGGCAGGTGTTCAGGAAACAATTCCTTCCCCCTACCATTCTTTAGGCTTGTCATATGCAAAATGGGAATAATATATTTGTACTTTATAGGCATTATGAAACCAGGTGAGATAATAGATAAAAAAAAATACTTTTGTATACAGATTCTTGTGAGGTGGTATTATATTTTTATTATACTAGTTACCCTGTTTACCCTCCCTTTTCATTTTCAAGTCAGATTACCATTAATATGATAAACTCTTTGCTCTGGGGATTCTGAAAACCTAGTCTTGGATAGCTTCTGCCTCCTGTGGGGCCAAGTAGTTCTTAAATTAAGATTCTTGAAATCATGAAGAACTTGGAAAAAAGCTCCAAGCACCAACATTGCTTTCAGAACCAATCAAAGAACTTCCTTGCATTCTAGACAGATGATATCTTAGGTGCTAAAAATAGATCTGTCTAAAGTAACTTCTTGGTCTCCTTGAAGCAACTGAAAGATATTTAAACCTGAGAGCCTGGTTCCTTTGCAGACATCTGCTCCTGTGATGCAGGCACCTCTCTGCATCACAAGTGGCTGGCTTTGGCAGGAAGCTGAGAGTAACCTACACTGTCCTCTCTGACCTTGAATCAGCTCCTCCTTGGCAAGAACTTCCCCACTGCAATCAGGAAACCTATGAATACAGAGGCCAGCATCCCATAATATGAAGCAGACCCAGTTTGTGAGTTTGTGAGAGTGTGTGTGTGTGTGTGTGTGTGTGTGTAAAATTCAGAAGGCAAAGGTGTCTCCCCAAGGTCACACCAAAATCAGAAAAGAGTTAGTGCTACAGTCCAGGTTTTCCAACTTTCAGGATGCGGCTTTCTAATACAATGCAGTAGCATTACCCTTTCTTGTGTACTTTGTGGGTTTCTGAGCAAATGGTCTAGGTTACCTCCATTAGCTCCTGAAAATATGTTGACTTTTAAAACACAAAATTGGACTGGGCATGGTGGTGCACAGGAGGATCATGAGTTCAAAGCCAGCCTCAGTAACTTAGCAAGACCCTGTCTCTAAATAAAATATAAAAGGGGCTGGGATGTGGTTCAGTGGTTAAGCACTCCTGGGTTCAATTCCTAGTACCAAAAACCAAACAAACAAAAAGCCATAAAATGGGAAAATCATGTTAGGTGATAACTTTTATTATTTTACTTTTTTTTTTTTTTTTACCAGCAGTTTTCCAATCTCTCCATTTTTGTTTTAGTTCATTTTTTCTTTGACAGTCTCAATTTCCTCCTTTCTGCACCACCTTTCCTCTCTACCCTGGTTATTCCAGTTTAACACTTCAATTTCTCTCTGCCAACTGCCTCAACAATAAAGTAGTGGTTTAGAGTTCACGTAGCCATGTGACATGATACTGGGCTGTGGAACTTTGAGCTAGTTACTCAACTTCTCTGAGTTCTAGTTTTTCCATTTAGAAAATGGGAGTAACAATAGTACTCACCTCAAAGTTCTGATTTGTTATAAAACAAGTTAACATCTGTAAAGAGCTTAAAATAGTCTCTGACACAAAGGAACCCTTCAATAAATAATAGCTATTTATTCCTTGTCTTTCCTCTTTCTTGCCAAACAATCTTATAATCTTTCACCAGAAGTGCTGAAAAGAGCCCACTGCTGGGAATTAGAGCCTGGACCAATTCCTGGCCTCCACCTCACTCAGCCTCCAGTGTTACCCTGCTCTGTGCTATCGTTTAGTAGTTTCCATTCCCACTGTTTCATGTGAGGCTTTTACACTTTGACTTTTATTTTTCCTCTATCCCTCATCACCTTTGTGTCAGCAAATCAAGGCCATTAGATCATAACTCTCCACTTTCCACTGGGCAATTGATTCTAAACACATCCCCTGTGACTTTTCCTATGATCTGAGAGGAAGAACTGTCCTCCTGTGTGAGGTACCCCACTTCCTCCTGCCACTCAATTCCCCAAAACTAGGAAGAGAACTGAATTCTCGATTTCCCACCCCCAATGCAGCCTCTGTGCAGGCCTAGCTGTGTGGCACTGCTTCTCCCGCATATCTGACTTGTCCCCTCCACTTGCGCCTCCCATCAGTGCTTAATCATGCCTATACCCCCAAAACTTTCTCAACCCCAAGCACCCTTTATAGTCAATGCCATTTTATTTGGCTTTCCCTGGTAGCCAAGCTTCTCGTAAGCATGGCCTCCACCTGCTAAATCTACTTCTCTCCTCCCTGGTTCACCATAGATTGGTTTCCAGTCTCACCACCTACCTGACTGCTGCCAGTGAGGTTATTGGTGGCCTCCTGACTATCAAGACCATCAATATTCCTCATTCCTACCTCAGCTTCTGCTACAACTTGTTTCACTTTGCTTTAGACTAGTTTACAAAGCCGACTCACAGATCTCATGAAGATTTAAATCACTTACCTATTGTGATAGATTTAATAACCAAAGCTACCATAGTTTTTAAAGATAAAACTTACCAAATTTCATTATTTTTTTCAGAGAGAATTTCTGCAGCTTTTATTGTTGCTGCCTCCTATTATAGATTTTTTGGGAAATATATTTTATTGATTAAAAGAAAACAGAAAATCAATGCTGAGATGTAGATTTTGGTCCATGTATCACCACTTCCCTTATAAGCTCTTAAGGCAGTGACAGCAGCTTCTTCAAGTTTGAATTACCTATAGTGTCTTCCTGACTGTCTTAGGCATAATAGGGCCAAAATGAATATCTGTGTAATGTCACATTTATGTAAGCACTTTAGGGGTTATCATTAGTTATATGTATAAAATAACTCTTGTTTGCAGAAAAAAAAAAGAGGGTCCTATCTGATAACTTCATGATGTGTGTGTGTGTCAGAGAGAGAGATGGGGTGGGGGTATGGTAAGGGTATGATTCCAGGGCTCAAACAGAGATCTTCAAATATAGCCCACATTCATTTCTGCTTTAAATATCCCAGAAGAATGGGAATGAGGGGATTGGGGATGCAGCTCAGTGCTACAGAGCTTGTGTGAGGTCCTGGTTCGATTTCTAATACCATATACACATACACACAAAGGGGAATGACAGTAGAAAGAATACTGGTTTAGTACAAAACAGCATGGGACTGAGAGACAGGAAATCTGCCAAGGGTTCTAGTTCATAAGTTGTTGCTGATTCATTGGATAATGTGGAACTAAACACTGTTTCTGGGTTTCTGTAGTCAAGAGGCTTAACTGGAGAAACCTCTGGAATCTTTTCAAGCTTTTAAATTCCATAATAATAATCACTAAACAAGAAAATGGGATGTTAGGATATTCAAGGCCTTTCCAAATCACCTTTTAACATCTTTAGTTAAGATTCATCACCACCTCCCACCCTGGCCCATGCTTCAACTATTCCTATTCACTTCTAAGTCTCTAACAGTGTCATGTTCCCACATTTCCATGTCTTTACCCAGCTTGCTCTGCCTGGACTGCCCAGTCCTCCTTTGTGTGATTAAAAGAACTCCTCCTAGGGCTGGGGATGTGGCTCAGTGGTATAGTACTTACCTAGAATGCATGAGGCTCTGCGTCCAATCCCCAGCAATTGGGAGTAGGGGAGACTTTCTATTTCTCCCTCAAGTCTCTATTCTTCTATACTCTTACCCCCAGGCAGACTGTGGTTCCCTCTTCTCTTTTAATATGTATTCCTTTTATAATATTTACTGTATTGTATTGCAATGAATTTGTCTACATGTTAGGCTCCAAAATGGGCTGTAAGCTACTTCAGGGAAAGATATCATGTTTAAATTTTTCTATCCCAGTATGAAGGACAGTCAACGAATAAATACTTGCTGAATAAATGAAGAAGAGTTTCCATAAAACAACTTAAACCCTGAGGTAAGTAGTTACATTTGAATCTCAGAGAGGTGAGGTAACTGCCCAAGGCTTTAATGAATCAGTTGGGTAATCTGGATTTTAACCCAGGATTTTTTAACCACAGAACCTAAACATTCTCCTGCTCTTTTTCTTACCCCAGTTCTAGCAATCTAAAGGGCTTCATGCATGCTAGGCAAGTGCTCTACCACTGAGCCACACCCCCAGTCCTTTTATTTTTTATTTTGAGAAAGGGTCTTGATAAGTTGTCTAGACTGGCCTCAAACTTGCAATCCTCCTACCTCAGCCGCCTGAGTAGTTAGGACACCATGCCCAATTTTCCTGCTCTTGAGTGTTTAAGTATTGGCTCAGCAAGGGGTTACGATCAGTGTAAGATCTCTGCAATGCAACTGCCCAAATTAGAATAAACCCTTTTAATATTTTCATATCCACTTCAACCTCTATCCAAGAAGTATTGAACATTTATTATTTTTGAAAAACAAGTAGCTTTTCTAAGCTCGAAAACCACTTCTTTACCCTCTGATGGCAAGTCTCTTACTCCCTTCCAAATCTATACCCCGGTATTTGGCTGTATGTGTGTGTGTACACGTGTTCATGTGTTTCCCAGCGGCAGCCTCWGGGGAAACTGGGCAAAGAATGAATTTGGATCTTGCTTCGGAGAGTAGAAAGGGTTCTGTAAGAAGGATGCATGTTTCATACATTCCACTATAGGAGAAATAAGCCAAGCTTAAGACCCAAGGAGAATGAGGAAGATTTTACTTCCAACCCCCACCCTGAGGCTGATCTGCCTCAGTTCCCAGAAGGTATGGACTCCCACAGATTCAAACCAGGATAGGCTGAGCCCAGAGCAATTAAGGACAGGGAAAGGCCAGCAAGTGGGTTTGTTTTCCCACACCTCCCACCCCATTCATCACTGATGCCCCCACTCTGTTTACCTGGAGCATAACTTGGGCTATTGGTTGGGTACAGGCTGGGATTGTAGGCAGGGGCCGCTGCCGGGTAGGCTGTAGGGTAACCTACATAAAGACAAGAAAAGTCTTACTTAGGCAAGGAAAACAACAACACTAACAACAAAGAAGAATTCTAAGGAAACAAATTCAAGTTACAGGCTTGGCTTTCATTTTCTTCACAGGCCATTTCACAGAGCTTTCAGACTCTCAAGAGAAAAGTCATTAATACCATAACTCCAATAAATGCAGATTTTTGGGCCCACTTTTAAAAAGCAATACATAAAATATGCCTGCATTTTCACTGTAAAAAACGTGGAAAAAAATTAAAAGCGCTTATGATAAAACATATGTGCTTACTTTCACATTCTGCCACAAAACTGCTCTGAGAGGTAACCACATTAACAGTTGGGCATCTATTTTTTTCTAGGTAGCTTTCTATGGATTTTATACACATATATTCAGTGGTGTACTGGCAAGTATTTAACAATTGGCTTGAAGAGGTTGGGAGTGGGGTGCTTTTCTAGCATACGCCAATTGCCATGATGTAAATAATCTCACTATGGCCAATTTCAAGCTACCAATATCACTTAAATGAGTAGTTGGGAAGAAATGCTCACAGTCAGCACTCAAGATCACGTACACCAATGCCAGCTCATCATAGCATATCATATACAGTTCTGTTTTTTTTTTTTAACTTCCATTGTAGCAAAGTAAATATAAAATTTGGAATTTTAACCATTTACGTATACAATTCAGTGACATTAATTACATTCACAATGTTGTGCAACTATCATCAGTATCTGTTTATATAACCTTTTATCATCCCACATAAAACCTCTGTGTCTGTTAATAATAATTTCCCACTCCCCACAACCCCTACCCTGGTAATCTCTAATTCACTTCCTATCTCTACAATTTCTCCCCATCCTCACCAATGCTTTTTTTTTTTTAATTATAGCTTTTATAGTTAGTGTGAAGTGGTATCTCATAATTTTGATTTATATTTCCCTAATAATTAATGATGTTGAACACCTTTTTATGTGCTTGTTGGCCATGTATACATCTTCCTTTTTTTTAACCAGGGATTGAATCCAGGGGTCCTCAACCACTGAGCCACATTCCCAGCCCTTTTTATTTTGAGACAGGGTCTCACTAAATTGCTGAGGCTGAACTGAGCTTCTGATCCTCCTTGCCTCAGCTTCCTGAGCTGCTGGGATTACAGGTGTATGCCACTGGGCCTGGCTTGTATATCTTCTCTGGAGAAATGTCTACCCAAATCATTTGCCCATTTTGTAACTGGGTCATCTTTTTGCTGTCACACAATGTAGGAGTTCTTTATATATTCTGAATATTAAGCCATTACCAAATAAATAATTTGCAAATATTTTCTCCAACTCTGTGGGTTTTCACTTGATAATCCTTTCAATGCAATTTTTAAAGTCCAATTATCTACTTCTCTTTTTGCTACTTGTGCTTTTGTAATATATCCAAGAATCTATTGCTAAAACCAAGGCCATAAAGATGTTGGTTTTCTTCTAAGAGTTTTATAGTTTGGGGGCTTTTGAGTTAATTTTTGTGTATGGTATGAGGTAGAGGTATATATACTTTTATAACTTACTGTTTCATTTAAACATAAACATTTTCCCACATAATCACATATTATTAAAAAATTTTATTTTTAATATCTTTATACTATTCCATTACACAGATATATCAAATCACTTAACCATTACCCTGCTCTTAGATGTTTAGGTTGTTTGAAATTTTCATTTTTATTATAGCTAACAACATCAAGTAAACTAAATAAACCTTTGCCTGCAACTCTATTTTTTTAAAAATTAGGTCTAAAAGCAAATTAAATGTCCTTAACTATCAACAGACATATTAAATGAATATTGTAGCCACTACAGAGAGTTTCCAAGAATCATCTTATGAAATCTCTTCATAGAAGCCAGGCACAGTGGTGCACACCTATAATCCCAGAGGCTCAGGAACTAAGGCAAGAGGATGGAGAGTTCAAAGCCCATCTCAGCAGCTCAGTGAGGCCCTAAGTAACTCAGTGAAACCTGTTTTCTAAATAAAAAATAAAAAGGGCTGGGGATGCAACTCAGTGGTTAGGTTAAATCAGCTCTTAGGTTAAATCCCTAGTACCCTCCCACACAAGAAACCCAAATCTCTTCATAGGTAAGGCTCAGTGCTAAGAGCCCTTACCTAGAATTAGAGAAGCTCTGACTTCTATCTCATACCACAAAACAAATAATCTCTTCATAAGTCTCCAAATCCAAGTAATGATAAGATGGAAATATTAGTTGTCACATTTGTTCAGTACATATTGTATAGATGTACTAAAATATCACATATACCTCATAAATATGTACAATTATTATGTGTTAATTAAAAAAGAATTTTAAATGCTTAATGAAATGTAAATGTTAACTAATCTGATATGATTTTTGCATACTGATATGTGTTTAAATTATCACATTGTATCCCTAAATTTGTACAATTAAAATAATAATAATAAATTAAAGCTAATCTTAAGCTTAGAAAAATATTAGTACTAGAAGTGAGATTCCTAAGGCTATTTTTATAATTCATCCATTGAACAAATATTTGACTATCAATTCTGTACCAGACACTGGTTTAGGGAACAAAACTAAGACCTCTGCCCTTGTGGAACTTATAGTCTAAGCAGGGGAAAGAAGGCAATGGATAAATAGGAAATATAAACAAAATTTGGGGGATTTCTAAGTACTGGTGTTTTAATAATGTATCTTTGTTAATATGCTGGTCCTTAAACCCTTTCCAACTCCAGAGAGAATTCATTTCTGAATTCATCTTCAATCATTTTCTGATTTTTGAATTGAGATAATCAATGTGTCACTTCATTAGCAATTGCTATGGGAGAAAAAAAAAGGCAGAATGAAAAACACCAGAATTGCCACTGTCTAGGTTGAGAGCACTGCAATATTAAATAGGATAATCAGGGTAAGAAACTGAGAAGGTAAGATTTCCACAAATTTGAGGGAAATGATATGGTTAATCAAACAAAAAGCCAAAGCATTTCAGACAAAGAAAACAATCAATGCAAAGGGCCGAAGTTGGGGAGCATAAGGGACACAGCAGAGGAACAGCAGAGGCTGGAATGGAACAAATGAGGGATACAGTAGTAGTAGCAGAGGGAGTAAGAAAGATAAAGAGCTATTCAGTTCATGTATGGCCTTACAGGCTACTATGAGGACTACAACTTTTATTCTAAGTGAAATGAGAATCTGTCACAGGGTTTTGAATAGAATAACATGATCTGACTTATGTGAAAAGGGTCACTCTGATGGTTCTGCTGAAAAGAGAGTACAAGGGGGAAAGGATAGAGAAGCATGGAGACCAGCAGGGAGCTATTGCAAATTCCTGGCACTAGATGGTGGGGCTCAGACCAGGACAGCAGTAGTGCAGCTGATGAGAAGTGACAGGCTAAGTCTTCAAATACTTTGCTGCACTGCCTTCTAGAAAAACTATCAATTTGAACTTACACTAGCAGTATAAAAGTGCCTGTCTCACTACTTACTCCCTGCAGTTTTTAAATGCTCTTTGGTATTTTGACTGACAATGAAAAGCTGGTTTTAAAAGTCAAAGATTAAATCCCTAAATCCCTAAAAGCTTCTTTGGGATTTGTAAATATTGGAGCTTTAATAATGTATCTTTGTTAATATGCTGTTCCCTAAATCTTTTCCAACTCCAAAGAATATGCACTTCTGAATTCATCTTTGATCATTTCTGATTTTGGAACTGAGGTAACCAACTTGTCATTTAATTAGCAATCAGGAGGTATGTCACTCTGCAAAAGAAAGTCAGGGTCTAAGCTGGAAAGCTAAGTGATCAGTCTTATGGATATACTCAGCTTCAAGTGAGAGACTGCAGCATGTGGGTAATCACTGTTCTGTCACCTCATATGCTATTTACTTCAGGGGCAATTATAGGATCTTCCTTAAATGTTTCTAAGCAGAATTATTTTTAATTCACATAGAATGGCAGCACTATAGGGGTTTTATTTTGTTGACTCTTCTTCATTTTATGGGTGACGTTCATAGGCCCAGAAAAGGGAAGGGACTTCTAGGATCATAGATTGCTGAGGTTAGAAGGCACCTTAAAATCCCTTTAGCCCAATCTTGTATTAGGAGGAGTTAGTGCTTCCATTACAATAACCACAATCATTTATCCCAAACTTACATCTTTACTGACAGTAAAGGCTTTCCTTTCCTAAGATCCCCTACTCCACTGTGAGACCACTCTGTCCAAAAATGCCTTCTCATACTGCTCCAAAGTCTGACTACCTGTAGCTTCTACTTTTTAGAACACAAAAATTTGAAGATACATAGTTGCCTTAACACATTGTACTTCACACTATAATTATTACACTGTACACTTCAAAGCCTTGTTTTCATTTCCTATCCTACACCCCTCTCCCCAAACTGTAAGCTCCTTGAAGGCACAGCTATGTCTCATTTGCTTGTATACAATACCTCTTGGTCAGTCCCCCTTCCCACTTCCCACTCAGCTCACCAAATCACCACTCCCCTCAGCCTGGACAGTAAGCTCAGAGCTTCTCAAATGCTGGGTGGCTGACAGCCTGCGTGGCCAGCAGGGAATATCCTTTCCCTACTATCAACTTTGTCCAAAAAGGAAATCACAGATAAATTGGGTTCCTTCCCTACTCTTTTCTGGTTTTCATTTTGTTTATTTCATTTCCTTGTCTCAACTGATATTTTTCATCCTGCTGCTTCTACTGATGATGATATCTGCATCTTTAATGCCAAGCACAGATAAGGCAAAGAATAGGTATAGGTACTCAATGAAGAGATTATCAAGGGGTTGTTTTCTGCAATGATGAGTGGCTCTGTGTGTGTGTGTGTGTTGGGGATTGAACTCAGGGCCTCATGCATGGTAGGTGTGAGAAAGTCCAGTGGTCCATTTTCAGAATACAATATTTAGTCTTAAATGTAAAATTAGGACATAAGAAAGGAAAGGCAGCTGGAGGGGAAATAGACCAGAATGGAAAGTTTCAAGCA